AAAAAAAAAAAAAAAATACATTTCCACTGAAATACTGAATGGCCCTTTAAAACCTGATAATATCAGTAAAAACTATGTGTATGTTACAACAAATCGGATCAAGCCATAAAATTTTGAAAAATTGAGATGGATGAAGAGTAGAAATACCTTAACACACAGTTTAAAGTTAATACAGATGTTGAGCACATACAGAAAAACAGATGTTTAAACCAAAGAACTCAAGCAAATTCTCTTTCAGGTCCCAATCCAGGTTCATTGTTATTATTGGACAACCCTCAAATAAATTTTTTATATAATAAAATTCTCTCCTTATAATTAACTTTCTTTCCATTTATTATTTACCCATGTACTACTGACTAAAATTCCTTAAAAATGAACAGCAACAAAAATTTAAGCATGAGAATCATCAGAATGGTAAAGTAAAAATAAAGGAAACTAGAAAGGTTTGTCATGAATCACGGTTTTGAGAATACTGACTTACAAGATCTAACATGCAAATATCTTTTCATCCTAAAAACACAATTAAAAAAAAATCTTAAATTTAAAATTCTGTTCTATAAGAATTACTTGTGAGAAGAAATAAAAGGAGTAGAGGGAAGCTCAAATGTGAGGTCACTATGCTTTTATGAATGCTTTAAGAAAAAAACAATATTTTTCTCCCCAAAAGTTCCAACATTAAGAGAAATCAAAAGGACACTGGGAATTGTGTGTGTTATTTATGAGTGCAGAAGAAACAAAGGGTAAGCAAATTGTTTGGGCAGTTTTGAAGAATATGGTTATATGTTCAATAAAGAAAATAGAAGTCTCAACAGATAGTTCATTATTAACAGGATATAAAATGTCAAATTAAGAGTTCCTATGCTCCATTTTCTTATTCCAGTAGTTGCATCCTCATTCTCAAACCGAAACAAAATTTATCAACGTTAAAAACAAAATGCACCGGGCGTGGTGGCTCATACCTGTAATCCCAGCACTTTGGGAGGCCAAGGCAGGTGGATCACCTGAGTTTGGGAGTTCAAGACCAGTCTGGCCAACATGGTGAAACCCCATCTCTACTAAAAATACAAAATTAGCCAGGTGTGGTGGTGCATGCCTGTAATCCCAGCTACTAGGGAGGCTGAGGCAGGAGAATCACTTGAACCTGGGGGGCAAAGGTTGCAGTGAGCCAAAATCGCAGCACCACTGCACTCTAGCCTAGGCAACAAGAGTAAAACTCCCATCTCAAAAAAATAAAATTAACAAACAACAACAAGAAAAACAAAATGCATAAAGATGTGTAGAAAAATGCCATCTGCAGTAAATCTAAAATTAACTTAAGAATACCTTGGTTTCCTGTAGCATTATTTTATTCCTACAACTATTACTAGGAAAAAGAACAAAAGAGTTTTAAGAGGTCAGAATTTATATAAATATTAAAACTAAATATGAGGTAATATATTATTCATGTATCTAAAAGAAACTGAATGCTTTTCTTTAAATCTGTATATTTTTACCTATGTAAAATATACACACTGCTACAGTTTTTAATATTAAAACAATGATTGGCCAGGAGCAGTGACTCACGCCTGTAATCCCAGCACTTTGGGAGGCCAAGGCAGGCAGACCGCGAGGTCAGGAGTTTGAGACCAGCCTGGCCAACACGGCAAAACCCCCATCTCTACTAAAAATACAAAAAAATTAGCCAGGTGTGGTGGCGTGCACCTGTAATCCCAGCTATTCAGGAAGCTGAGGCAGGAGAATCACTTGAACCTGGGAGGCGGAGGTTGTGGTGAGCCAAGATCGTGCCGTTGCACTCCAGCCTGGGCACAGTGCAAGACTCTATCTCAAAACAAAAACAAAAACAAAAAAACAATAAACATGATTATGCCCTATGTAAATCTGTAAGACTAAAACACTGATGAGACACTGCTTATTTTCTAATTTTGAAATGATTATATGATTAATTAACTAAATTGTGGTTACCGCTATGTAAAAAGTGGAAAGTGATTAAATTCTTTTTAGAGTAAGCATGTTGGACTTATATATTCAACAAAAACAATAAAGACTGAAAAAAACAAGTTAGTGAAAAATATGCAACAAACCAATATTTAATAAATATTTCAATAACAGAATATTCAAGATAGTAGAATTAGTAGTTTAAATTAGTCTAACTCACTAATAAAAATTTACAATGAAGCAAGTATTCCCTGTCCCTTTTTTTTTAACAAATATAAATTCTACTGACTACAGAGAAAATATAGGGTATATAAAAATAGCAAACCAATCAATAGCTCAACCAAAATTACAACAAGAACCAATTTCTTATCAAAGGACTCAAAGGGGAGAAATAATGAGATGTCAACTCTTACATGCCTAAAGATAAGCAGAATGATTTAGATTAACAAATTTATTATAAAAGATTGTTAAAGATCTCTTTCTGGTCACCTTTGTTACCTGGGTACTCTGATGCATTCCTCTGATCCTAACAGGCCAAGTTGTCCATCTGAATCAAGACCCCAAGCATACACCTGGCCTTTGTCATTTAATGCTAATGTATGAGCTTCTCCACATGAAACAGCTACAATATTTTGGGCATCCAAGGCAACAACCTGCTCTACAGAAATAAAGAAGAGAGATATTACGTTCTAATTTTGAACTTCCAGTAAGAACAAAACACATTCTTCATTTTATACAAACAAGCTAAAGAAATGCTTAAACACACACTACATATAACCAGTTATTTTGAATTATATAACAAATTACGTACCATACGTAATTCTCATTGTGGTAAAACACAGATAAATACATTATAGGGCATAATCAACTCAGAATATTAAGTGATCTGAACACTTTTGGGAAGAAGTTAAGGGATTATAAAGATTCTTTCAGAATGTACCTTCTATTCAACTCTGTTACTAATAAAAGAGTCCAAGTTAAAAACAAAAACAAAAAAAGAGGAAGAAATCATTTAAATAACCTGGGCTGCTTGACTTTAACAATAAAATCATAACTGACACATATATTACAATGTATATGCTGCTGTGAAGTGATTCTGAAATTAAGGAAACAGGCCGGGCACACTGGCTCACACCTGTAATAAATACCAGCACTTTGGGAGGCCAAGGAGGGTGGATCACTTAAGGTCAGGAGTTTTGAGACCAGCCTGGCCAACACAGTGAAACTCCATCTCTACTAAAAATACAAAAATTATCTGGGTGTGGTAGCGCATGCCTGTAATCCCAGCTACTTGGAAGGCTGAGGCAGGACAATCACCTGAACCTGGGGGACGGAGGTTGCAGTGAGCCGAGATCATGCCACTGCACTCAAGCCTGGGCGACAGAGCCAGACCCTATCTCAAGGGGGAAAAAAAAAGGAAATTAAGGAAATAATCTGAATTAGCAACTTCTGAATAGAAAACAAATTTTTTAAAGAACTTGTAAATAAAGCATCTATTAGATATGGTGAGTAGAGAACTAGAAGGCAGTAAACCATGACTGAAAAAGTTTCTATTTGTGGACTGCTAAATATCAAAAGATATAAAAGCTGCTTTCTTGGTTAAAATATGTTCAAGTTAAATCAGAAATTAACTTAAAATATTGGCCCTACTACCAGGAGCCATCAATTGACAAATCAATAAGGAAAGTGCATTTATTTCCCCTAGTCCTCAAGATGTGTTTGTCAGTTTAACTAGTACACGTTTTTTAAAAGATGCCATTTAAAATTAACGTTCTTTCAGTTTAATAAGAAAGCTATAATTATTGTCTTCAATGAACTAAAAGTCTTATGTTGAAATGGTTAAAACTGGATCAATCAGGGTTTCTTCAGAGGCACAGTTTAGCTTAATTTACAAATGCAGTTGTTCAATAATGAAACAGACTGAACCAGAGAGTCTGAAATTCCTATCTATACAGAAATTCAAATTGTATCTAGATTACTAGCTTGCATTTTGGAGTGGGAGGTTAGCCCTAGATAGCCTCTTGGAACCTACATAACTCTAATGACATATGAAATACTTACCTTCAGGTACTATGGGGTTGATTACTCCTGAAGCTTCCAGTATATGGAAGTTCATTACACTAATCCCTCACTTTTTGGATAGCTTTTTAAAAATTATTTTGCAGAAACATACAAAAACCAAAAAGGAAAACAAGATATGACACACGATGTTCCTAAAAAAAAAAAAAAAAAAAGAAAAAATACTTAGAAGCATCATTTGTTTATATCAAAACATTCCCATATATCTTAATTATGAAGAAAGAAGTACATGTGTGAAAGATTTATCTCTCACAGAGGTTCCAGAGAGTCAAGGTCTCTCCAGAACAATCCTCAAAGGAAGTAGCAGAAAATGACAAGATGACAAGAGGAGTAAGACTGCTTGGTTGGTTCAACAATAACAAATTAATAGCAATCGCTATAAAGAGAGCAATGGCCTTAAAGTCAAAGGCACCAAAATCCAAGAAACAAAGAAGCAATCACTTATATTAAACACTTGTATTGTATACTTCTTGTGCTCCAAGCACCTGCGAGAGAGAGAATAAAACAAGTGTCCCAGCCCTCAATGAGTTTATGGCCTATGGAAAAACAAGTGAGATAAAGACTGTGACTACATGCTAAGATAAATATATGCAAAAGACACAAAAGGAACATGAACTATTTATGTAAACCTTAAAGATAGTCCAGACAAGGTAGTTCACACCTGTAATCCTAGCACTTGTAGAAGCCAAGGGGGGGATCACTTGAACCCAGGAGTTTGAGACCAGCCTGGGCAACATACTGAGACCTTGTCTCTACAAATAATTCCTTTAAAAATGAGCCAAGCTTGGTGGCATGCACCTGTGGGTAGACAGAGGGGGGAGAGTCACTTGAGCCCAGATGGTTGAAGCTACAATAAGCTGTGATTGCGCCACTGTGTTCCTTCACAGGTGACAGAGCAAGACCGTGGCTCCAAAAAAAATAATAAATAAACAAACCAAGAATTTTAGAAGACAGTGAAAACTAGCTGAGTCCTAAGCTGAGGAAAGAGGAGATTCCATGTATCTGAGGAAGGAGACCCAGACATCTAGGATCACCTCCCCCTTGACTTCCACATTGCATTTCAATAGAAGAAAAGGCTGGCCGACTGGTGCCTCCTATATCACCTTCCTGTAAATACCAGGCATGGTGTGGGGGACTCTCTCCAGAAGCCATTGTTTTTACTTAAGATCAAAACCCCACCTCACTCCCTTTCATATGTGATTTCTAAAGCTATAAAGCCAAGATCCTTTCATATGTGATTTCTAAAACTATAAACCCAAGACCCTTTCATATGTGATTAATAAAGCTATAAAACCAAGACCCTTTCACTTGTAATTTCTAAGGCTGTAAACCTAAGATTCTTTCATTTGTAATATCTAAAGCATAAGCCTATATAAAGACAGAGCTTCTCTTTGTTAGGTGAGCTTGGTCATTTAGACAAATTGCCACTTGGCTCCCATTTGTAATAATAATAATAAACACTTCTTCCTTCCCAGTTCGATGTTTGAGAGGTCTGTTTCTCACAGCCGCTCCTGCTTCATTTGATTCCCTGAACGGGAAAGGAGTTTTGGTTGCCAGACGGCCAGAAAAGCCTCTCAGGCAGTTTGCCTAGCCCTTCAGAGCATCCCTGAGGGGGCTCCCGCCTGCTGGGGCTACACAGTACCTGACAGCGCTCCCAGGCAGGTATTTGCCCGGTGGAAAGCCTCGCAAGAGTGGAGCAGGAAAGCCCCCGCAGTGTGGATCCAACCAGTGGCTGAACATCGAGAAGGAACGGGGACTTGGAACGTCCGGACAACAGAAACACGGTAGGATTGGTCCCAGGAAACTTGCCCACCTCCTTTAGGTGGAAGCATGGCCTGATCACCCACGTGTGCCAGATTTGGCACTTTTGAACTTGGCTCTCTCTCTCTCTTCTTTTGTAACTAATCTTGGAAGCTTTTGCTTATGGTTTTGATTTGGGTGGAGGGAGG